ACCGAGCGAAGCTCGGTGCGCCGTCTTGGGCTCGAGGGAGACAATTGAAACTCCGCTCGCGTCTCGCTCTTCATCCCTCCGGACTCCCTCGTCAGTAGAGGTGGCCCACTAGGCAGCATCAGCACACTAAACGCTTGCAAGCGGAAACATGCCGCCCTGGGCCCTGCGCGACAACGCTTTCGACAAACCGCACTACCGGCTCAACCGGGCAGCCTTAGTAGAGCTCGCAGAAGCATTAGGCGTCGAGCCCGGAGGGAACGTACACGAGCTCAAGGCAAGGACGAAGCAAGCCCTGTTCGAGCGGAGGGACGAGCTCATTGAACACCCGTCCTATTCCGCCCTTTACACGGAGAGAGAGAAGAACGAATTCCAACAGGGTCGCACCCAAGGAACCGGGGACGAAGGCTCAGACTGGCAAGGCATAGCGGACTATCAAGAACCCCGCCTACCCTCCGTCTCGACGCGCTCACAATCGCGCACGACCGACCAGCGCATGAGTCTCCGAGGGCGTAGGACACGCTCGGAGGGTCGCGAAAGGGGGACGCAACGCTCGGTTAGGGCCAGGGCGGAAACACGTCCACTCCCGCCCCCAGCATCGTCAGGTGAGCGATGAGCCTTACTGAGTCCCATGCCATCAGCGTCCTTTCTTTGCTTTCCTGGCCTTCTTGCCAGACGAACCATGCTTGCTTTCTCGCCGTCATTTGCTTTCGCTACGGCGAGACCAATGCTATCCTATTGCTTCCTTTCTTCCTGTCCATACCTTGCTTGCTGTCGAAACGGGACTCACAAATAGTCCCAGGGCATCGGAGCCACGATCAGGCACTCTCGTCGTCGGAGTACGCCAGCCCTCCACCGGATGAGCCGGACGACCAGCCAAGTCCATCTCCTCCGGCCTCACGGCGCCCACATCATTCCTTCGCGACGCCCCAGGCGTGGCTCCCTCGACAATCACGACACGTCGACGAAGCCTTGCCTATTGACGCTCCTCATACTCCTGTAACTTCGCGGGGCCGACCGGCGCGTATCGCCGGAGTCCTCGCGGACGTGAATTATTATGTGATTCCACAACAAATCATTGACATATTCGAAAGAGGACATAAGAAGCACGTACCGCTCCACCATCTCACGGACGCGGCGTGCATGGCTCAGGGTATCGACACGACTGCGAACCTGAGCAACCTTTGGCAGATCGAATCCGGGGGCCTAGTCCCGGTTCAGCAGCCGCTCTCTCCGGAAGGGGAGATGCAGCTCTCGTTCGCGGAGTGGTTGCAGGCCTGGCAGCGTTACCTCCAGCTGTTCGAAGAATATCTCCCGCAGGAGTACCAAGACTGGTTTACGCACCACGAGAACATCCGCTTGCGCCGGGGAGTCAGCAGCGACAACACATGGCCGGTGTGGCTCGCCTACGACATCGAGATCCGCAGGCGCAGGCTCAATACTCCCATCGACCCGCGCGAGTACCACCGCGCTATCTGGGACGACTTGTATATCGCCCACCTAGGGAGGAGGATTCTCCAGCCGCAGCCGCAACAGGCTCAGCTCGCACTGGCGAGTCGCAGACGGGAATCCGGCGGGGGGACGACAACCGGGCGTGGGCCCCGCAACTCCCTTCCGACGAGAGGTCGGGCCTCCGACCAGACCAGCAGTTCCTTTCGAAGCTGCTTCCTCTGCGGGCGCTACTCCCACCGGACGAAGGAGTGCTTCGCCAAGACGCTCGCGAACGGGAATCCGATATTCATCGCGAGAACCCAAGACGGAGGCTACGCGGACAAAACGGGGAAACGGTACTGCTTTCACTTCAATATGCAAAGGGGCTGCTCAGCCTCCGGCACCTGCGCTCACGGGGAACACCGCTGCACGCTTTGCGGAGACACCCACTCCGCCAGCCTCTGCGTCATCGCTAGCGCTGGCCGTGACGACCCCGTTCAAAGCAGATGAATGGGAGTCGCTTCTGGCCTCAACGGGCTTGTTAGATACCTTCTTGGACGTGCCGCTTGGCATGAGAAACGGGTTCGATATGGGTGTCCCCACCCTCGTACAAACCACTTACATCCCTCCTAATCACAATTCAGCATTGTCAAATACAGAAGCTATAGACCTGTACATCCAAAAAGAACGCGCAGCCCGACGGTACACCGGTCCCTTCGATCGCGCGAGGCTGGAGAACCTCATCGGCCCGTTCAGGACCTCTCCTCTAGGCGCGGTACCGAAGGCCGGGACGTCGGAATTGCGGATGATTCAAGACTTCTCTTTTCCACGCAACAACCCGGCCATCGCCTCAGTAAACTCAGCCATCGATTCGGACGCCTTCCCGTGCGAGTGGGGCACGTTTTCGGAGATGGTGGTGCTCGTCATGGACGCCC